GTGGGTGGCACAATTATTGACATTCAGTAGAAGTTGCAATAAATGAGGTTAATGAGAAAAGTGGGGACTGAATCCTAAGGGCTCTTAGAAGTTGTATTAAAGAACTGAACTCCTCCTGAGGATAATGGTGGGTCATTAAAGGGGAGTTTTAAGTTAGAAAAAGAGAACAAGAGCAGACATAGATTTTAGAAGGATCACTTTAGCCCAAATGGGAATGAATGGGAGGTGCTGAGACTGGTGATTAGTAGATCAGTTAGCAGCAGTTAGACTATTTTTTAGCTATAATGGTGGTGCCCAGACCTCAACTAGTGTGACTCTAGTATTGGGAAGAAAGAGACAGATTGGAAAAATAGTGGAGAGAATTTGATTGTTATTTCGCTATGGGGGAAGAGATGGTAAGGTAGGAATCAAGGACAATACTCTTGTTTTTGGTTTGGAGAACTGGATGGATAAGAGAATTTAATGTAAATGAAGTGATTGGGATTGGAGTAGAAGAGCGTGGGGAGGAAGTGGCCTCCAGTCAGGGGTGGAGCAGAGGCAGCACATCCAGGTGGAGATGTACTGCTGGTGTGCGAGGGAAGCTGGGGAGCTTTGGCCGGAAATGAGACTTGGCTATCACCACTATACGTATGATAATTGAACTCAGGGGAGTGATAAAAATAGCAGAGGGGAGCATTTATAGAGTGAAAGGGGGGCAAGGACAAAACCCTAAGAGCTGCTATCTGATGTTTGAGCTGCCAGCCATTGTTTTGACTGGATTATTGGGAACCAGCAAAGAGGAAGGAAATCAAAGTTGATCTGATACACTCATTTAGTGGAAACCCACCTAAGTTGTTTGATTTAGACGTGAAAATGGTCATCTAATGATCTGTCCTAATCAGCTGTCACAGTATCTGACAGTTATGTTGTTAGAGACTCTTTGCTTTGAGTGAAGGCATTGTCTGGCCCAGATATCCCATAAAGAGAGCTAGAACTTTAATCCATTATCTGGAATTCAGAGGAAGTAGGTTTGGGAGACCTGACATTGCTGAGTGGGGCCACGGAGGAAGCTGGTTTGAAGCTTCGAGGTCACGGGTTACCTGGATAAGGAGGCTCGGCTCGGTGTGTGTTTGGAGAAGGGGGATCGTGAGTTGGAGAGCAAAGGGGCAGAGCCACTAAAAAGGAAATAAAAGACCTTTTAAGAGCATGGAGAACTATGTAGATGGAAAATCTTGAAAGTATTTCAGTTATAAATTAGTGTGACTATAGAATTTATCATCTAAACTGGGACATACTGACCCAGAAAGGGAAATGGCTATAATTAGTAATTGCATTGTGAAAACCTTCATACCTGGGACCATAACAAGCAAATAAGGGCGAATGGTCATTCTAGTTACAATATTCTTATTTCACTAATAATGTAATAAAATAGTATTAGTTTTTAGTTACCATGTGCCAAGCATTGTACTAAGTAAACACTTTATACATCTTATTACATTCTTACAGTAATCCTCTGAGATAAGTAGCATTATCTTTATTTACTTTTGATGAGAGAAACCAAATCTCAGGAAGGTAAAATACCTTGTCTGCATTTTTCCATGGCAGTCAGAATCCGAATGAATGAAATAGCCTGATACGGACCATAAACAAAATCCAAGCAAATTCTTATACACTACATTGTACTGCAGTTGCTGTGGGTGTGTATATGTATTTAAATTTTTTTCTGAATATTCTTTAAGGAAATTACTATCATAATGTTACATCATGTATTAAACACAATTCCCCTTCAGATAGCCATACCTCTGAGGGGTTACTTTGTGTCAGACCACGTTCTAGGCCTTTTACCTGTAGTAACCTAATTTAACCGTACAATGGCCTTATTAATTATTTCCATTTTACAGTAAGTGGCAGAACCAGAATTCAGGCTTTCACCATTTGACTCCTGAGCCTGTTTTCTTAACTGCTTCCCTGTACTGCTGCCTCTCGCCCATTTTCTTTGTGGAGACATAGGTTTCATTGATCTTGGGAGTGGGTTTGTTTGGGTCCAAACAAGTCCAGAGTTTGTGTACCTGACTTTTCAAAGGCCAAAACTCAAAACATCAGAATTTAGGGTGAGGAAGGTTTACTGATCAAGAACGCACCACCTGAGGAGATAGGAGCCCTCATAGTTTAGTTTCTCAGATCCATCTCAAGAAAATAATGGAGTTCAGGCTTCTTTTAGGTCAGGGGAAGGGAAGAATTGGAAGGGCAATCAGCAGAATTGTGTGTTACTAGAGAGTAGAGTTTTATATAAATGGATTCTATAGTATATACTTGGTATGGCTTCTTAGCATAATTATTTTGAGATTTAACCATGTTGATGAGTATATAATAGTTTATTATTTTTTATTGCTAGTAGCAGCACACTGAACAGCTATAGTAATCCTCCTCATTGTGGTCTTGCTGTTTGTGTCTTCAGTTACCCATGAACAGTCATGGTCCAGAAATATTAAATGGAAAATTCCAGCAATAAATAATTCATAAGTTTAAAATTGAGTTCCATTTGAGCATGATGAAATCTCATGCTGTTTCACTTCTTCCTGCCTGACACATTATTCATCCCTTTGTCTTCAGTATTCACATTAGTTACTATTTTAATCTCTTACTGTGCCTAACTTAGAAATTAAACTTTATTAAAGGTATGTATGTATAGGAAAAAGCACAGGCTGTATAGGGATCAGTGTTGTCTGTGGTTTCAGGCATCCATGGGCGGGTCTTGAAAGATTTTCCATGTGGGTAGGAGAAGACTACTGTACCACCCTTTATCAAGTCACCTGTTGAGGGACAGTGGAGTTGGATCCAGTCTTTGACGATTACAGATAAAGCTGCTTTACACAGTCTTTCGTGGGCATACACTTTCATCTCTCTTACATAAATTCCTGGGAATGGAATGGTTGGGTTGTTTGGTATGTGTGTGTTCAATATTTTAAGAAACTTCCAGACTGTGTTCAGAAGTGGTTTTACCATTTCACAATCTCACCAACAACGTAAGAGAGTTCCAGTTGCTGCGTACCCTCGCTATCACTTGGATTTTCCTCAGGAACAGTGTTGGTGGGCTTGTTTCCCTGTCCTTATTTGCTGTGTGTATATCATTGGTGAAGAGTGCCTTCTAGTATGTGGCCTACGCTCTGTTAACAATAGTAGACATTAGTAATTTTCATAAAGTCCCAGTTTTCACTTTTGTCTTTTATGTATCATGCTTTTTGTAATGTAGCTAAGAAATCTTTGTCTAAGTGAAGGCCACAGAAATCTTCCCGTTTTCTTCACGAAGTTTCATAGTTTTAGGTTTTACTTTTTAGGTCTGTGATCCATTTTGAGTTAATTTTTTGTATATTATGAGGTATGGATATCCAGTCCTGACAGCTGCACTTGTTGGAAATGCTGTCCTTTCCCCACCGACTTCTCTTTGCACCTCTGTGGAAAGGTAACTGACCTGATATGTATAGATACATTGAATCTGCCGATTTTTTTTTAACATAACATGTATCTTTATTTGTCGTCTTTGCACATGAATTGGTAACTTATTCGTAATTATGTTTTCTGATGACGCTGTAAATAATATTATAAATTTCACTTTTGATTGTTCTTTGAACAGTTGTATACAAACAGTTGTTTCTGAGTATTAATCTTGTAAATCTGGTAACCTTCCTAAAGTCACTTACTAGTTCTCATTGTGTTTCAGATTAAGCATAGTGCCCTGGTTCATTTTCAATTTAGATTCGAAGAAATGGGTGAGCTTACAGATGCAGTCAGTGCCTTGCCAGGAGCGACGTGTGGCATCCCCAACATTTTGTCTTCATTTTCTTTTAATGAAACACTATATTCCTCATAATATGGAACTTTGAAATTTCAAGCTACCATTACTTAAAATAGTTGAATATATAAGTAATTTCAGGAAAATGATTCTGAGGCAGGAATTGCTGTTTGTTGTTAAGGTTTTTTTTTTGTTTTTTTTTTTAAATGGGATTCTAAGAATATACTTAAATGATAAATTTTAGAGAAAAAATTAACTGCCTTGGTGATGGTTTTTGGGAGAATGAGGAAGAGTATTTGATACGGACTTTTGAGATTTGAGGCTTGAGAACTAACTGCGTGTATCACTGATTTGGTGAGATGAGAAATTCTTAGGAAGCAGTGGATTTGGGATTATCAATTTGGTTTGGACATACTAGATTTTAGACCTGTTTTTTTGTGTTAAGTACTTATAAATTTATGTGGAGGTTTGTAAATGAAGAGATACATTTTAGAGAGGTTAAAAACAGGCCTGAGGTCCCACAACTAGTCCTCTGTAGAACTTGATCCCAAACCCAGGGCCCTCCAACCCTGGAGTCAGTGTGGTTATCCCTGTGCCGTGCTCTGCCCTCAAGGTGAAAACCGCGCTTGGCTTGGCTCTGATAGTAATCGGTGTCCCTGTGAGCTGTTATAAATAAGTAGCAGAGTTTGCGAGCTCAAATGCCAGCAGGGCCACAGGTAACTGAGCGGGGCTAGGTACTTGATGAGAGAGGACGGCACCTGTGGGGCCCTGCAGACCCTGTCCCAGCTGAAGGATCAGCTGCGAATCAGCTCCTGCGGAGTGTTGCCCAGTCTTCTGTTTTTTTCAAGAGACGTCAGAAATCATGACTTTTGTGTCATCTTCTGATACATAAATGTAGGCAGCTATCTTTTAACATGCTGGGTAGGCCAGCCTTGTGTGGGTCCACTAAACAAATGTGTTGGATTCTGCCCAGTGGGCAAAGCTTTTGTAAGAGTTGCACCTCTGGTATACTGTGGACACTATGATAAACATATATGTGATGGGAAAGGGTGGTAACTATAATAAGTATATTACAGCCTTTGAAATGCAGGTTGCTTAGTTTGAACATGGTGCTTAGTGAATCTGGTGTTTAAGTTCAGTTTTCATATGAATTAGTTGATTATAGATGGGGGAGGGGGAATTGCTCCTTGCTACTTTTTTCTTCCTGATTGTACGCTTTCATTTGCAGATAAGGGCCAGTTGTGAGTGTGTGGATTTTTAAGTGAAACCTCACCCCAAGTGAGAGGACCTTCAAGGAACAAATACTGACAGTGAGTCTGCAGTCATTTCTATGCATAATATGGAATGTTTTCAACCCAGAGACAGCTGAGTGGGTGACTATTGATAAGGAGCGGTGAGTCGGAATATCCCCACTGATAACTTAAATCCTTTAGTGAGCAAGAGGACTAGCCTCCTACATTCTTAGTATTTACTGACTGTTGAATAGTAAGTTAACTTTTGTGTGAGAATGACAACGGTCCAGTTTGTCCCTGACAGCGTGTTTCATGTGTGTTTGCAGTTTCTCTTTCTTCCTCGGTTAGGCATATCTCTTCTTTTGTCTCTGTTTTTTTGTTTTTTTCCTGCCAGTCCAAATCATACCATTCTTCAAGGCCTGTCTTCCTTGAAATATTCAGACAACACTGAAGTGAAGGTCTTACTAGTTACCAGCATCTCTTCTGATCTTGGTTGTGGTAGGTTTCATTGCCTTTGGAAGTGATTGTTTTAGGAATGGGCATGAGACCCAGGTTTGGCCAATGGGGAGTGAAAGGGAAGTCTTCAAGAGGCTTCTGGGAAAGGATTTTTTACTTTTGAGAAAGAAGAGATGGTCCATCTTCTTCCTAGAGCTTGTTTTAGCTGGATGCAACAGCTGTACCTTGCGTATTCACCTTCGCCGCTAGCCTGGAGGTGATGCCCTTCCGTAAAGGAGGGCAGAGGCAGGAGACTCGCAGAGACGAGAACTGGAACCCCATTTAGTAGAAAGAACCTCCCTAATTGTGAGTTAGGTCCTTGTTAGGTGAGATAATAAGTTTCCTTATTTTAAGTAATTTTGCCCTTAGATGCTGTTACTTGCTGTGGAAATCATCCTGATTCATGTGATTTCTCCCTGTTCCAATTACCTACCACCTTTTCATCTCATGCATTTCTACTTGTGATGTTCTGTGCTGTCTTGTCATATGTTTGTGTATGTTGCCTTTGTAGCACATTACACACTTTGTGAAATCAAGGCCTGTTTCTATCTTTACTGTGTCTAACACTAGTACTGTCTTCTCAATAAAGCCACCAGTGTATATTTATTGAATTGAATTATTTGAACAGTATTTGAAAAACTAGTCCACATAATTGAATAATTATAGAGATTTTCTTTTAATTCTCATTCTTTTTTTTAACCACACTGCTTCCTTCTGGGATTGTGAATGAAGTTTGGCTTTTGACTTAAGATGACTGGTGTGTCACGTATTTTCAAGTGGTTAATTCTCCCCCAAAAATGTTGCTTGGATTCAGCCTTTTGTGTTTGACTTTACCATGAAAATCAACTCCTGTCTTACATATTGCATATTGGCTTTTAGTCTAGTAAATTTTTCATTCTTCTGTGTTGCAAAAAACTGAAGTTTACCTTCTCTTTTCTGTGTTAATTGTAGGAATGAAGGACAGGGATAGTAAGAACCACAATCATTTTGTTTGTTTGGCTTTGGAATATGCATCACAAAAACCTCTCTAAAGAACGCCTCAGCTCTGTTCTTTGGATCTAATTGTGTGTGTGGGGGGCGGGCAGGGTGGGGGGGTGGGAGCCTCGGGGCAGAAGGAGGTTTGGTGGAGATCTAGTATCTCCTGAGAGCAGTCCTGAGTTACGGGATGGATTATATATAGTTACTTGTATTTTAAAGCTCTACGAAATAAAATAATGTTTTCCCCTAAGTCAAGATATCCATGTATTCTTTTATCTTTCCTTTAAATTCTGCTATTATAATCTTTAAAAAGAGGGATAAGAGCCTCTTTTTTTCTTCCTGGAAAATCTATGTTGTTGCTTTCTGTTCCGTTAAGGAGACATTCTGAACCCTTCGAAGAGTGATTCAGGCCTGGTCGTTAGCTCCGTTGGGTAGAGCTTCGTCCTGATACACCAAGGTTGTGGGTTTGATTCACAGTCAGGGCAAATAAAAGAATCAGCATAAATAAGTTGAACAAATCGATGTGCTTCTCGCTCGCTCGCGCTCTCGCGCGCTCTCTCTCTCTCTCTCTCTCTCTCTCTCTCTCTCGCTCTCAAATCAATCAATTAAAAACAGTGATTCACATTCAGGGAAGGATTTACTCTTTCTTTCTTTTCTTGATGGGTTGTGCTTAAAATATGGGGGGATAGCTTGAAGAAGATGGAAAGTTGTATGATGTGCTTGACCTATCAACTTTAATTTGGTAATGCCATTATTTAGTAATACAAAAGGTTTAAATCACTAAGGTCAGCTCTCGTGTGTTTTCTTTAATATATGTTATGAAGAGATTGTAGCAGTGGAACATGTGTCTTAACCTAAGGCCATCATGGCAAGCGTGCTGTCTAAGCTGGACCAACCAGAAGGACCTTAGGGCATTGGCTAGAAATGCTGGGATAAAGGCACTTATTTTTTTCTGCTGAATGTCAGCCTGAAAATGTACAGTCCTTAAGTTCCTGGCAGCTGTCTTCTGACTATAAAAGGAAAGTCAGCTGAATTAGAAGCCAACACAGGAGGGGGAGTGCAGAGGAAAACGACGCCTCTAGTCAAGTCTTCCCCCAGGATAGTATACCTCCAGACTTTTCAGTTACCTGAGACAATAAATTCTTTATTTAATTCAGCTGGCTTTGGATTTTATGTTACGTGTATATGAAAACATCCTAACTGATATATCCTTGTTACCACCCATTCAACACTATATAATAACTCAAGAGATTTACAAAAACTTGAATTGTGAATTAAACAAGTAGATCTCTTGATACAGGTGTGCAAGGGGCAGGTAATACAGTTCATTGATTTAAGAATTCAGGTATAAGTACAGGAGTTAAGGTGGTAAACAAATGCATAGTTCATGCTGTTGCGAGTGGAGCTTATTATCTGGAAGACGCTGATATCACATGAACAATCTTACTAATGACAAGGTTCTTATTAACTGAGTTTAGGGTTCTAGAAGAAAAGGAGTGTCTGTCATCTGTAGTGATGAGCTCTTTGGGGGAGACTCCTGTTGAACGCTTGGCATCTCTGGAACTGTAAAACACAGTTGTGGGGGACCTAGAATCGGGCTGACTTAGAAAAAAATAATGAAAATTTTTATTCATCTCTTTTTTTCCCTAAGAAGGCATTAGAAATTTGCAGGACTGCAATCTTTTATTCAGAATTTTGGGGCCAGATGTGTGTTGCAGTTTCAAGATTCTTTGGATTTTGGAAAGGGTAATATAGTATATATGCCGTATATTTAATGTGGTATCTTTTTACTTAAGGGAGAGACTTGTGACTTTTTGTTATTAATAATATAAATAACACTGCCTCACACTAGTTGAACTACTAAATGCCAGGCTCTGTGTACTTTTCAACAATTATATTAACATTTTTATACTTGAAAATTTAGAGACATTAGGTGACTCTATCAAGGTTTATGCAGCTAAGCAGTAGGAGAGTTGAAGTTCAAACCCATGCCTGCTTGGTCCTGCCTGTGCCCGTGTCCGCTGCTGTGCGCCTCCTCATGTGCTGAACTGCTCAAACTCATCTGTGTGTAGTTCACATTAGGAAGATTGTTTCTCTTAAGTCTAATTAGCTACCCTGACTAAATTTACTTAATATTTCTAATAGTCTTACATTCATTTCACTTAGCTCTTCTGGGAATGCTGTCCTTTTTGTAACTAAATATAATTTTGCTTTATCCTTTGCAGATTTTATGTCTCGCTCTGGTTCACTTACTAATTGTGATGGTTAGAACTTCTAGAACATTGTGATTCTAATGAACATCTTGCTTGTTTATGAATTTAATGCATCTAGTATTCTAAATGCTGACATTAACTGGAATGTTTATCATGTTTCACTACTGAGCATGAAGCCAGCCTTTCAGTATTCTTTGAAAATAAAATGTGAGACTAATTTACCTCTGTTTTATTAAGAATTTAAAAAAAATTTATTTTGATCTCTACTTAGACCAGGTTTTAAAGTGTTAATTGTTTCTGTGTCATAATTGCTACAAACTAAACATTGTTTAATTATTTCTACCGACTTAGATCGCACTTCCCTTTCAGTCTTGGTGCTCTGTAAACTTCTTCCCTCTTTGGTGGATTCATTTTTATGCATTTAAAAATGTGTTTATTGTGCTTTATAATTTGTTGACTTATGTTTATTTTATATATATGTTATTTAAATTTCTTTTTTATTTATATGGGCCTACTATGTAATAGGAGCTTAATGAGTATATATTGAATAAGTAAATTTTTACAACTATCTGATTAGTGAGGCATCTTGATAGCCTGTGTTTTAGCTGGTGATAAGACAGTGTTGTATCAATTTTAGAGATGGAAAAACCCCAGGAAAAAAACATATTTAGGATTAAAAGTTGTAGTTCCCCGGTTTTGTGGTCATGTGGCTGATTTCTGATCCTGTCACTTTTCCATTCTGATGTGGTAGCATCTTGTAGTTCCCAACTAGAAATTATCTAGAGGTTTAGGTTAGGTATTTCTCTCTCTCTCTCTCTCTCTCTCTCTCTCTCTCTCTCTCTCTCACACACACACACACACACACACACTAATATGTTCACCAAATGCGAGGGAATGAGGAAATGTGCATGTTATAGAAAATGAGATACAAATGGCCTGTTTAAACTCACACTGCTGACTTTCCTAAAATCTCAGACATGCAGCATCTGGCCTCTGCATACCCCATACCTCTTGCTAAGGGTCCCCAGGCCTGGCACTGGCAACATCGGGTCTTGGTTGGCAGCTTGGCCTCCCCCCGGCACTTCCAAGCCCATAAAACAGCCATCTTCAGGTTGCTTCGTAGCTCATGCCAGTTGGCCCTGGGAAGGGCACAGGCAGCGGCTGACCTTAGCCTGCACTTCCTGAGAGGCCCAGAGCCAGAACACCCAGTGGACAGCTTCAGCACCACCCATCCACCTTCATAGGCAACACACTCAAGGAGTGGACTCAGCAGGCACCAGAGCCCTGATGACACAAGTCCTATTCTGTGGGGTCGGCCCCTGCGCAGCAAATCCTCCCTGGTGATGGCGGGCCAGTCTTCTCAGCCGATCAGCCTGGGGGTAGATACCCCAC